CATCATGTAATAAAGTAATTGAGCTGTCACTCATGCTAGATATCATGTTTAGGCTTTATGTCGATACTGTTATGACCCATAGTGGTCGTTTCTTGCTGTTGTCTTATTTATTTCATTGATATTCCGTACTCAGTCATATTCATTCATTTCATATCATATCTCAGTCTCTATTGTTAATTATTGATACATCATATAATTATTTTCGAGCTAGTATCATGACATTGTGAGCCCGTGAGAGAGAGACTGGAGAGATTGGTGACTGAGTGAGGCCGAAGGCCTGATTATGAGTGATATTTATGGGATCAGACTGCACGCCGCAGCGGTGATACTGATTTATGATAGCACTTGGGCTAAAGGAACCCCTCCGGAGTCTGCACACACCCCTAGTGAGCATGGTTGATATTATTGAGGGATGGATCTTCCCTGGACATGGATCTTGTCCGAAGCATTTTATACCTGGAGATGGATCTTCTCCACTGGCTGGATTTTCCCTACTCGATACTGGGTGACTGATGGTCATTGATGTATATATTCCGGGATGGATCTTCCCTAGGCCGTTTGGGCCATATACAGTACCGAGTGATTGAGTATTTGAGAGTGTGAGAACATGAGGCTGTCGGGATGGTGCATCATATACAGCATGTGCATTGGCATGGTAGAAATAGAGGAGTTATATTTTTCATACCATTCAAATTGATCCATTTTACTATTTTAAGATATCTATCAAACTTGAAAGCATGTCTACATTTCTGTACTGTTTTTTTCTGTATTGAGTTATGCCGGTTGAGTTCGTCACTACTTTTAGTCCACAGTTTGTATTTGTTACTTACAAAGTTGGTTGTACTCACGCTACACCCTGCACCTCGTGTGCAGATCTAGGTACTTCTGGTTACGGTGGCTGCTTTTTAAGGAGACAGGGTCTCGAAGACTATTGAGGTAGCTGCATGGCATTCGTAGGCCTTGACTCTCCCTCATTATCTTTATCTGTACTTCAGTTTTTACTCCTTAGACATTGTAGTAGACTGTATTCTGACATAGATGCTCATGTACTCGGTGACACCCTGATTTTTGGAAGGGATTTGTATTGCATTGTGGTTTTATTTCGGTTTGTTTTTAAATAGATTCTTAAATATTAACTGCTTATGTTTTATATTCAATGTTTTTACTTGGTGACCTGGTTGAGTAGTTGGCTTTCCTAGTTCCACGATAGGTTCCATCACGACGGTTGGTTTTGGGGTCGTGACAAGTTGGTATCGAGCCTAGGTTACATAGGTCTCACGAGTCATGAGCAGGTTTAGTAGAGTCTTGCGGATCGGTATGGAGATGTTTGTACTTATCTTCGATGGGCTGCCAAACCCTTAGGAAATTTCACTTTCTTGTATTCTATTGTGCGACATTGATTCAGCTTGAAACATAACTCTTTGAATCCCTTCCACGTATTCGTGTGCGCATGTCAATGCTCGATATCGTCTGTGCATCGCCGGCTTGGGATTCCATGAACAAGGTTCGAGATGAGTATTCTGTGTTTTGGTGATGGGCCAGTCTGGAGGACTTGAGTTCGAGGTTAGACCGCAGCTTAACCTCGGTAGTTTCGATTGTGAGAACTTATGAGTTTGGACTTATGCAACCGGTGGTGTCTCTATGAGTGGAAAATTGTGGCGATGAGCGGTCAAATGGCTATATGATGAGTATGATGAGACTGCTGGATGTGTTCAGATGGGTTGAATATGACGAATAAATTTTACTTGTGACTCAAGATTTTTCTATGGGGTATTTGAATTTTGTCTTGATTTGACGTGTAGTCTCGAGTTGTGAGTGTATTGAAGGATCTTTAACATTGTATAATTGTGGAACAAATTAAATTCCCATGTCTTGTTAATGAGTTTGGACTCAGGAAGATTAAGTGATTGCGTAGTAATTGAGGCTGTGAAAGGGTATAACAAGATGAAAATTTGAGGCTAAGCTGGGGGTTATCTCTTGCAGAGTAATCTATGTAGGTGTGTTCCTTATAATGTTAAGTGGAGAGTTTCTTTTCTACCAGCGGAGTGTATGTGTTGAGATTTGAATTTGAATCTGGGTGAGAAAGTTGACTTGACTGTCAAGAGAATAAATGCGAGATTATCGGATGATTGAGGTACTTTATGGTTTGTGTTACCTGCGCTCGTGAAGCATTTTTGTTGAATTGACTATGGGATTATGACAATAGTAGAGTGTGGGTATGATAAGTTATCAGATATTTTATTATATGGCTTTGAGCCAAGTGGAGGAGTTTGCTATCTACGATTTGATTGTACGATTATGTGTTGTATTAGTTTTGGTCCGAGACATACTTGTGGATTAGTTATGACTTGTAGAGGTTGAGATCGAGGATGGCTCGAGTAAGGAAATTCCTAAATACGGGTTACATTGCACTTTATGAAAGATATGAAAATCATGGAATGATTAAGTTGTTATTTTGAAGGATGTAGTGCGCACGAAGTATGAATTTCATTGGTGGTGTTAAGGCAGGGTTACTTCTTTGGGGGCTGTTGTGCTAATGGGACTTGTGTCTTTCGGCCCGTTTTGGCGGTGCAATTTAGATTTGAGCATAATGGGTGACGTTCGAAAGGGTTCTAATCGATTCAAAATGTATATGTGTCAATTGAATTTTTTTTTGGAATTTGTATATCGCGAGAATCGATTATTTACACTGTATGGTGCCAGGACTTGCATTAATTCTATCTGACTATGGATTCTACATTCCAATGCAAGAATGGTAAAAAGGAACAATTTAAAATTCAGATAAGTTATTTCAGAGTGAGCATTTCAGTTGTGGTACTTATGGGGGTGCTTAAGAAGAGTACAGTGGCTTATGGGCCTTAGGGAGGTGTCATTTTATGTTAGGATGTCTTGTAGTGAGATTTGTGTAAGGATGGTAGTGTTCCGATAAGGAGAAGTGTCAACTTGAGGGTAATTATGATGTGGTGAGGCTCTACAAATGTTTTGGTGGCAATATTCTTGGGTTTGATGACCTGCGTGGTTTGGACGAATTAGAGGAATTTAGTTCCGATAGCTTGATTAGGTGCAACTCTATTTCAAAGTGTTCTTGATGATTTCTACCATGGTTTGAACCGCATATTTTCTACCAGTGTGTGGAACGTGTTGGGTATTATGCTTTCCTCCTAGAAGGAAGCAAGAGGAAGGTTTCTAACTAACCGGGTATGTAAATTGATGGTGACTCAAAGTTGATAATAATATTCTTGTGCTTGTCATATGATGGGAAGGTCATGAAGGGAAGGTCATGAATTCTTGATAGAATGATCAGTTTTATATATTTAGATGAATGTTATAACTGCTCGGTAATCCCTGAGAAGGGTGCGCATTTCAAAAAGCACATTGTGTTTTGATTTACGAATGTTCATTGGTATTGTGGTACTCACCTGGTTGATAGACTGCTAATATTCAAATGATTGCTATGTGGCACGGAAAAATTTTGAAAGTATTCCTCGTGGGATGATCGTGCATGAAAAATGTGTTAGTCATTCGAGTGCTGGAGTTGGGATCAGTTACGGCGGTTCATGTATTCTATGAATTTGGAGACTGGGAGTTCTCCGAAGCATATTGTTTCAGGGTTGCGGCCTATTTGAGGTGAGTGTTTTATCTAAACTTAGTGGAGGCACTAGTTGCGCTAATTATTTGTGATAGCTACGCGCTATGAGTGCGCATATGTTTGGGGTTTGAGCCCATGTGCGAGCACCCGGGCAGTTATTCATGCTTGGAAGAATGCCTATGCTATGATATGTCTAGAGTTGACTGTTAAGCATAAAGTTATAGCATTTCTCGTATTCGTACCTTTGTCAAGAACTATCTGGACTACACTTGAGGTTACAAAGAGGCTAATTCCCTAAATAAATTGGGCAGTTACTATTTCTGCGTTAACTTGCCGATTTGGGTGGAGATAGCACACTTTGCACCTGCCTACTCTATGGCGTGTTATTTATACCAGTCCAAGAGCATGATAAGCATAATTCATTTATAATATACATGTGTACTTATTTGATAGCTCCTGTATGATATGCTTTGACTGGAGGCCTGTGACCATGCCAGCCAGATTATATTATTGGCACGTGAGTTGTCTGTGTGGGTCCAGATATTGATACTATAGTACGTGAGTTATCTGTGCGAGTGATATTAATGTGAGCCCTAGAAGAGATGGTTATTGTTATTAAATTTGTGTCTTGGTTCTACTATATATAATGAGATTATAGCATTGCAATTGTGGTGGTGCTTGTTGAACTTGCAATACGGTTCTCTACTTTGAGACATCTTCCATTTTGGGTACAAGGTTGCACAGTTGTGGCTTGAGTTTTATTGGTGTGGCATGTCAGTAGGATAATTGTGTTTAATAATATATAGTCATTGGACCTAGAATGGGTACTATCAGATTTTATTACGGTATATTGGGAGGATAATATTGAAAGTCATCTTAGAAGGTGATTATGATTCTGGTTGGGGCAAGAAAGCTCCATTACTTAATCTGATAAGGGGTTATGAGATTCCGTGTGTTTCTTTCATTATCAATAGTGTACAAAGGTTTTAGAACGACGTTTTGTTTGATATGGGGTTTAATACACTACAAGAATTTTGACTTTTAACGACCAGTTTTTTACGAAGGGACATGAATTCGGTCGTTATAGGTATATCAATAGCGATCACATTTTTTCCGGTCATTAAAATTAATTTTTAGTTTAATATTAACAAAGAAAAAATATTCGGTCCTTAAAATTCATAAATCCGGTAGTTAAAAAAAATAAAAAAAATAACGCTAACGTTTCCCTATCTTTTGCCCAACATCAGCCCACTCACGCCACTTTTCCCTCTTTTTTTGCCCAAACCCATAATTTTCCCACTTTTTTTTTTTTTTTAATCATAGGAATTACAAAGCTAGGGTATAAGTGAAATTGAGCAGTTGAAACTCTGTGAAGCATCAAGCCTTGTGTTCCTCTCTACAACCNCATAGGAATTACAAAGCTAGGGTATACGTGAAATTGAGCAGTTGAAACTCTGTGAAGTATTAAGCCTTGTGTTCCTCTCTACAACCTAGGGTTTCATTCTTCTTCTTCTCAAGGTAAGCTCTAATCTTGTAGTACTATTGTGAAATTGGGTACCTTTTTTATACTCCAATTATCTTTTTGTTTTTCATGTATTGGTTTTTTTTATAATTACATATACTACAATTTTATAATTATATTCAGATTTTAACATTGCTGATGAATGTAGAGGAGTTGCTTTTATTTATTTATTTATTGAATATTGCTCGTTATATGTCAACTGTGTGTATTCTCTTATAGAGCAGATTATTTTTCAACTGGGTTTGATTTTGAATTACATTCAGTTTTTCTGTTGTTTCCGTTTTAGCATCCCTATTTCTTCTACTATTCTTGAACAAGACTATTATTGCATGAGAAGTCTAAATTATGGTCTTCAAAATTATTAATTATTTTTGAAGCAAAATTAGGAGAAATCCACTTCCATTAAAAACCATGTCGATATGTATATGTATCATAGTTATGGTCTAATTAACTATTCTATAGCTTATAAAAGAGAAAGAGTAAAGGAAAACTAACAAAGTTATATCTTAAGCAGAATTTACAGGGTTTGTTTGTATTTAGTTTTGAAAATATTTTTCTGTGACCTATGTGTTTCCATTGGATTTTAATAAAATTAATGATAAGTTTTTCTGTTCTTTTACCCCAAAGAGCTTAAAAATATACTATTTCACTGAATTGCTATACAATCATGGATGAGATTTATTACCAACATGATGACATATAAGTGAAGCTATACTGATAATTCTGCTAATTGGAGTTTAGTTTGACCTTATTTGTGTTGCTTTAAGTACTACATCATGAGTTAGACTCCATATTTAGAGTCCCTTAGTTTTAAGAATCATGTTAACAGAGAACTTGAAGTAAGTGATGACTTTGTTCACGTGCTATGTGCTATCAGATGTTGAAACAATTAGAAAATCACGTCTTGTTGTATGAATATTAAGAATGCACTTTTTACTTAAAATATTGGTGAGTGGTGTATCAGTAAAGAACATATGATTTTGGACATAAAAGTTAAGCTTCAGGTGAAGTATTTTGTTAAACCTTAAATCCTCCAATCCTTTTTTATCACATGCTTCCTTCTATAGTATTCTTTCTCTTCAGTTGTACTGTATATCTGTATCATATTAGTTTAAAATGAAGATTGCAAAAGCACTACTATTTTTTGGAAAAGCTAAAGAGTTGAAAGGTGGTAACTCCTCAAAAGTTGCATTGTTGGAATAGTTGAATGCTACTGTAAAAGAAAATAAATCACTAAAAGGATGTTTGGAAGGGCTAGAGAGTAAATATGATGAGCTAGGGAGTAAATACACACAACATGCAAAGATAGTGTTTGATCAGCCTTCATCAACATCTTCAAGTGATCCATAGATTGAATCATTTAATAGGTTAGTAATTGAAAATCCTATTTTACTCTATGATGAAAATATTGCAACGCTCATGTGAATTTTTTCTTTATGTCATTAACATTTATGAATAAATAAAAACATAGTTAATGAAACAAGTGAATTTAAGCAAGAATGAAGTTTCAAATATTATGTACATGGTGCACTTGTGCTTGCTAACATACCAGGAGATAAAGGACTTTTGGAGAGATTTTACATTAGATATATGTTGCTGTCTACTAAAGTAATGTGCCGCTGTCTGCTCCTTTTTTTTTATCTGGCGTTGCACCTCTCTCTCTCTCTCTCTCCAATGATCTTATCTCTATTTCTTTCCTGTTACACTTATTATTATCTCTCTTTCTACCTCACCATTTTTAGTAGAAACTAGAATACCCACAAAGCAGGACAATTCTGTCATATCACTTAAGCTCTGAGCCTGCAATTTTTTTGAAATAACTAAAGGGTACTCTACTTTTCTTTGTTCTTTTCTATAATTTTCTACTTTAGCTTCTAGCTTTATTTCCTTTTGAATTGTTGCCTTCTTTTTATTTCTCTCTGTTTGTTTCTTGATGATAAAATCGCGAGCTTTGTTGGTTAGTATGTTGTTGTTATAATTATTGTTATTATGGTTACTAGTAAAATGCTACAACTATTATAACTATTATGGAGAATCTGCTATTCTATCTAATATCTCCACACTTTTAAAGAATATGGCTTCAAGACTTAAAACTTAGAATGTTATACGGAGTCCTCCAGTCGTATAATCATAAATTAAAAAATTACGCACTGTGGTGAAAGACATGTTACACTAGCCATCTTGCAGACAGACTTAAGGTTTTCTTTTCTTAAATGCTTGGTCATTGTTCTCCCTTTAATAAGTACTAGTTCATTTTTTCGTAAGCTGGAGGCAGATTGCCAAATGGTATCCAGGAACATTGGTTAAGATTCATGACGTTTGTTTTGGTTTTGTGTCAAGGAAAATTTTGGAAAGGTGAAAAAGTATATTTTGGGTCCAATAATGATTGCGTAATTTAGTATAAGTTAGTCTGGTACTTGGCTAGAATTTAATTGAACTTATCACTTCTTTGGCTAGTCAACTTACTTCTCGTGAATATGGTTATCTATCTGTGCATTCGATAATTTAAGGTGTTATCTGTTCATTTTCCCTTTAAAGTGTTTATTTTCTTCTTTAGTTATTTATTCTTTGATACTAAACTCAAATAAATTTGTTATTTTAACAGATCAAAAATTTAAAATCTGAAGAACCTATAATTGAAGAAAGTGTAGAGCAAGTTGAAGTTCAAGAGGTTTTTGGTTCGTCATCGATGGTTTAAAGACACTGTCTTATGTACATATATATGCTGCCATTTTATTTTTATTCTTTTTAGGAATTATTTAAAATGATGCTTAACTCACCTCACTTTATGCTTCTAGTTGTCTCCTATCTGGGTTTGCATTATTTTTACTTTTCATTATTTTAGCAAGATGGGTTTGTTACAATTTGGATTGGTTTCTCGTAAATATGATACTTTAGTTTTTTGTATTAACAAGATATCAAGTATTTGGTTTATTTTCCAATGTTGTTAAGCATGTATGAAAGCATATAAATAATTATTACTATTCATATAATTTAAATTTTTTTAATTATATTTATTACATTTTTATATTAGCGAAGAAAAATGTGGTCATTAAAACTCTTTAACGACAGGCTTCTCAAACAGATAAATGACTATTAACGAAGAGAAAATTGGTTATTAAAAGTAATTATACAATTAACGAAGGGAATATCGGTCGCTAAAAGCACTCGAATTGACATAATACATTGTTTTTATTAAAGACTTTTAATGACTGGATAACAAATTAGCGAGGAAAAAATCATGTCGCTAAAAAGCATGTATAACGACCGAAAATTACGTCGTTGCTAAAGATCCTTTAACGACCGGTTATAATCCGGTCGTTAACTTTTAACGTCGGGACTTTTAACGACCGGTGACGACCAGATTTTTTTCGGTTCGTTATTAACTTATAACGACCGAAATTGGACTTTTAATGACCAGATTTCCTCTCGCTAAAGCCCCATTTTCTTGTAGTGATACCAGTACCGGGTTGGTTTTGAGTAGTTATTGTGATCGAGAATGGTGCTGCGAGTATGCGAGTTGTGTGGTATGTTATGTGATTATATCTGAATTATGGTTATGGCTTGATACAGCTTGTTCAGACTTATACAATGTGTAGATGTGAGATTCGGGTCTTAAAAAGAATTCTGGATGTTAGATATTGGGCTCCAAGGTTTTTGGGCTAAGGTTAAATTAATGATTTTCAGTTATGTTGTGTTGTCATGCCTATATAGAATATGGTGACGTGAGATCACCCCCAGGTATGTGTGTGGTGAGGTGGAATAGTGATTCGAAGGTTTAGGAACAACTCTTAGCACGCAGTTTACATCACAGTTTTGGAGAGTAGTGCAGTGAAAATTAGGTACATAAGTTCAGTTGAGTACAACATTTCACCCTCAGACAGACGGATAGTCCGAGCGCACTATTCAAATATTGGAGGATATGCTACGTGCTTGTGTCATTGATTTGGGGGTTCTTGGGATCAGTTTTTGCCACTCGCGGAGTTTGCTTACAACAACAGTTATCAGTCGAGCATCCAGATGGCCACGTATGAGGCTTTGTATGGGAGGCAGTTTAGATCTCCGGTGGGTTGGTTTGAGCCCGGTGAGGCTAGGCTTTTGGGTACAGATTTGGTTCAGGATTCATTGGACAAGGTTAAATTGATACAAGAATGGCTTCGCACGGCGCAGTCTAGACAGAAGAGTTATGTTGACGGAAAAGTCCATGATGTTGCTTACATGGTTGGGCAGAAAGTTCTGCTGAAGGTTTCACCCATGAATGGTGTTATGAGGTTTAGGAAGAAGGACAAGTTAAGCCCTCGGTTTATTTGGGCCTTTTGAGGTACTTCAAAGGATTGGGGAGGTGGCTTACAAGCTTGCCTTGCCACCTAGCTTGTCGAGTGTTCATCCAGTATTTCATGTTATTATGCTCCGGAAGTATATCGGCGACCCGTCTCATGTTTTGGATATCAACATGGTTCAGTTGGATGGTGATTTGACTTATGTTGTGGAGCCGGTGGCCACTTTGGATCGGCAGGTTCGGAAGTTGAGGTCAAAGGATATAGCTTCAGTGAAGGTGCAGTGGAGAGGTCAGCCCGTGGAGAAGGATACTTGGGAGACCGAGCGGGAGATGCAGAGCAGATATCCATGCCTATTTGAGACTCCAGGTATGTTTCTAGACCCGTTCGAGGACGAACGTTTGTATAAGAGGGGGAGGATATAACGACCCGACCGGTCGTTTCGAGAGTTGTATCCCCATTCCCCTATTTACTGCTCCATTTGTGCAGCTGTTATATGACTTATCGGGCTAGTTGGTTCGGGTCCGGAGAGAATTTAGGGTGAATTGAGATAATTAGTCTCTTAATTGAAAGCTTAAGTTGGAAAAGTCGACCGGATGACGACTTATGTGTAAACGACCTCAGGTTTGAATTTGATAGTTTTGTTAGCTCCGTTGGGTGATTCTGGACTTACGAGCTTTTTTGGATTTTGATTTGGAGGTCGGGAGTAGAATTAGGCTTGGAATAGCGAAAGTTGGAATTTTGGAAAGTTTGACCGGTAGTGGACTATTTTTGATATCGGGGTCGGATTCCGATTCCGAAAGTTGCACTAGGTTCATGGGGTCATTTGTGACTTGTGTGCAGATGCGAGAAAGGGACCACAGAAGCGGCCAGGAAGGCTTTGGGCAGGGGCCGCAGATGCGAACTTTTGAGCGCAGAAGCGGGCGGACGGGTGCAGGTGCGGCCAGGCACACAGGTGCGATGGAATTTTCTGCACCTGCGATTGCGCAGATGCGGTCCAAGGCTCGTAGAAGCGGTGGAAATTAGGCTAAGTGACTTTCGCAAATGCGGAGTCTTCCTCGCATAAGTGAGATCGCGGATGCAGAAATATGGCCGTAGGTGCGAAAGGGGTCTAGGCAGAGTCTATAAATGCGAGACTTCACAATTTTGGCTTCATTTCATCATTTTGAGCTCGAATTTTGGAGATTTTGAGAGGGCTTTTCAAGTGTAATTCTTGAGGTAAGATCCTTGTGTCCATTTTGCTTCAATAATTATGTTTCCCCACTGATTTTCCACCTAGATGGTGTGTTTTTGATGTGTAATTTGGGGGTTTGAGGCTAGGGATTTAGAGAGTGAACTTTGGGGATTTGAATGACCATTTGGTGTCGGATTTTGGTAAATTTGGTATTGTTACACTCGTGACTGAATGGGCTTTCAGATTTTGTGACTTTTGTTGGATTTCGAGACGTGGGACCGGGGCCGGGTTTGGGCCGATTTCGGATTTTGGCTAAAATGTCATATTTTGCTTGTGGAATTTATTCCTTTAGCCTATATTGATTGTATTGTACAGCTTGTGGCTAGATTCGAGACGTTTGTAGACCGATTTGAGAGGCAAGGGCATTTTGGAGTAGAGTTAGCTCGGATTGAGGTAAGTAACACTATCAAACTTGGTTCTGAGGGTTCGAAACCCCGAATTATGTGTTATGTGATTGGTATTGAGGTGACGCACAAGCCAAGTGACGGGCGTGCGGGCGTGCACCATGAGAATTTTGACCTAGTCGATTCCACGACACTGTCTAATGGTTCTATCTTATTGATATTCGTGCTTTCTTCTGGTGATAAAGTAATTGACCTGTCACTCATGCTAGATATCATGTTTAGGGTTTATGACGATACTGTTGGGAGCCATAGTGGTCGTTTATTGCTGTTGCCTTACTGATTTCATTAATATTTCGTACTCAATCATATTTATTCATTTCATATCATATCTCAGTCTTTGTTATTAATTATTGATACATCATATCATTGTTTTCGGGCTAGTGTCATGACATTGTGAGCCCGTGAGAGAGAGACTGGAGAGATTGATGACTGAGTGAGGCTGAGGGATTGATTATGAGTGACATTTATGGGATCGGGTTGCACGTCGTAGCAGTTATACTGAATTATGATAGCGCTTGGGCTGAAGGAGCCCTTCCGGAGTCTACACACACCCTCAGTGAGCGCGGTTGATATTATTGAGGGATGGATCTTCCCTGGACATGGATCTTGTCCGAAGCTTTTTATACCTAGAGATGGATCTTCTCCATGGGCTGGATTTGCCCTACTCGGTACTGGGTGACTGATGCTCAGTAATGTATATATTCCAGGATGGATCTTCCTTTGGCCGTTTGGGCCATATAGAGTACCGAGCGATTGAATATTTGAGAGTGTGACCATATGAGGCTGTCAGCATGGTGCATCATATACAGTATGTGCATTGGCATGGTAGAAGTAGAGGAGTTATATTTTACATATCATTCATATTGAACCATTTTACTGTTTTAAGATATCTATCGAACTTGAAAGCATGTCTACATTGCTGCACTGTTATTTTCTATATTGGGTTGTACCGGTTGAGTTCGTCACTACTCTCCGCCCACAGTTTGGGTTTGTTACTTACTGAGTTAGTTGTACTCACGCTACACCCTGCACATCGTGTGCAGATCCATGTACTTCCGGTTACGGCGACTGCTGATTGAGGAGACAGGGTCTCGGAGACTATCGAGGTAGCTGCATGGCATTCGTAGTCCTTGACTCTCCCTCGTTTTCTATATATATACTTCAAATTTTACTCCTTAGACATTGTAGTAGACTGTATTCTGACATAGATGCTCATGTACTCGGTGACACCCCAATTTTTGGGAGGGATTCGTATTGCATTGTGGTTTTATTTTGATTTTGTTATATATGGTTTCTTAAAAATTAACTGCTTCTATTTTATTTTCAAAGTTTTTACTTGGTGACCTGGTTGAGTAGTTGGCTTGCCTAGTTCGACGATAGGCGCCATCACGACGGTTGATTTTGGGATCGTGACACTTGAATTGTGGTGCGATTCATGTTTTTGATGTTGTTTGACGTGATTTGAGGGCTCGACTAAGTTTGCATGAGGTTTTAGGACTTGTTGTTATGTTTGGTTGAGGTCCAGGGGGCCATGGGTTGATTCCGGATGGTTAACAGATCAAAAGTTGAAGTTGAGTGATTGCTGAAGATGGACCTCTACTGGTGTAACAGCACTTGCGGAACTTTGATCGCAGGTGCGAGCTGTGATGCGCAGAAGTAGATGGTGTGCAGGTGTGATAGGAGTTCTGCATCTGCGTGACCATAGATGCGGCAGGATGACCGCAGAAACGGAAGTGGGCAGATGAGCTAGGACCGCAGAAGCGGCTTGGATGCTCGCAGAAGCGAGTCCGCAGAAGCAGAGTGAGGGACCGCAGGAACAGTATGGACCACAGATGTGTGGATGATGTCGCTTCTGCGATGCCGCAGAAGCGTTTATGTGTCCGCAGAAGCGGAAAGCCCTGGCAGATTATTAAAACAAGGGTTCGCGATTTTGGCTTCATTTCAAATATTTCAAGCACGGTCTAGGCGACTTTTGAGAGGGTTTTCGAGGGG